GGTGGTGGCAATGAAGTTGCTCAGTGGGTAACAGCACTTGCTGCCAAGCCTGATCACCTGGGCTCAACCCCAGATCCCACATGGTGGGAGGAGCAAACTGACTCCAGCAAGTTGTCCTCTGGCCTCCATGCTCATACCATGGCCTTTGGGCATGCACATACACACACCAAATACATACAATAAATTTGTTATTTTTATTCCACCATTGGCTCCTGAGGCTAGAACTCAGGTCACCAGGCTGGCACTAAGTTCCTTTACCCACTGAGCTTTCTCTCCAGTCCACCTTCAGATTCTCTGTAAGTCTCCTGTGTCCCCCTGGCTGGTTTGAACTTGTGATCCTCCTGTCTCAGCTTCCTGTGTGCTGGGGTTACAGATATACACAAGTATGCCTGGGAGAAGACAAATTTAAAAGTACTATTATATTATGTTTTGAGTACTTCATACATATGTACATTTTTTTTTATCTTATTCACCCTTTTCTCCTTCCCTTAACTCCTCCCAGATCTTCTCCAGTTACTCCCTTCCCAACTTCGGTTCCTGTTTTGTTTTGTTTTGTTTTTTTCTTTAATAGCCTGCTAATTCCAGTTTGTGCTAGGTGTTGGGTCCTACACTAGAATATCTATCTACAAGGGACCACATACCTTTAAAGAAAACTGACTCTCCTCCCAGAAGCCATTAGCTGTCCATATCTCCTCAGTTAGGGGTGAGGACTTAATGTTTCTTCCACCTCCATGCTGGAATGTTGACTGGCTTGATCTTGCACAGGTCTTAGTCAGGCAGTCACAGCTATTGTGAGTTCACGAGTTCACCTGTTGTGTTTGTTCAGAAGGTATTGTTTTGTTCTCCTGGTCCTCTCTTCCATGATGGCCCTTGGGAGGAGAGGGTGTGACACAAATGCCCCATTTATGGTTGAGCCCTCCAAAGCCACTCTTTGATCAGTTATGATTCTCTGAATGGAGAGGCTTCTCTGAAGAGGTCTGAGAACTGCACTAATCTATAGGTAAATAAATTTAGAAGGCATTTTGATACTTTTGTCAGTTGAGTAAAATAATAGTGGTAGCTTCTCCGTGGGGCCTGTGAACTCCCCAGCCAGGGATTCCTGGCCAGATCTGCAGTCATAACTTACATGTAACTCCCAATACTTGTTTTTCTGAATGCTGCTTTAAAAAATCATCTTTGAAACATCTGGATGAGTATTGGGGCCTTGCTATCTGTCCTTGATGAGTTTTAATTACTCTTTTTCTTGTGGCCTCTGTGCTGTACTTTGAGTCCATTGGTGCTGCTTACCTCCATTAAGTCTCTCTTTGGCTGTTTGAATCTAAGATGTTGAAGGTGTTTTTGTATTTTTAATCTCAATTTTGACCATAGTTCCATAGCTGGGATGCTTATATGATTCAATCTGATCTTCATTTATGCTCATTTTTGTTTTGTTTCATAACTCCATGTTCTTATTTATATATGAGTCTTGCATTCTTTTAAAAAAAAGTGTGTGTGTGTGTGTGTGCACAAGTGTGCATGCATGTGTAGGGAGGTCAGGCTAACTTTTGGGATTCAGTTCCTTCTTTTCACTTTGTTTGAGACAGGGTGTCTATTGTTTTAGTCCCTCTGCCACTCTGTGCTAGCTGGACATGAGCTTCTAGTTGATTCTCCCGACTCTTCCCATCTCACTGTAGGAGTGCTGGAATTAAAGATGTGAGCCACCATATTTGCTTTTTATGTGGGTTCCAGGGGTCAAACTCAGGTGCCAGGCTTGGGCAAGAAACACTTTTACATACTGATCCATCTTCCCTGCCCTGTGTTAATTTCTCAATGCTTTATTTAAAAATCTTTAAGAAAAAATTTGAAATCCTATAGAATATTGATCCTGTAGAAGATCCTATAGACACATTTCATCTGGAGTAAAATTAGTCTTATTGACTGTCTAATGTGGTTTAGAGTGATGGCTTCAGGCTCACTGAGTGGGAGGTTCTTCCTAGAGCAATGCATGCTCACATTGCCTTCATATTAGCTGCTCCATTTCATCTACCCTGTTTCCTTCTGACCTCCAGTACAGACCTTATCAAAGTTGCCTGGAGTTTGAGCCCTGCAGTTAAAACTAAGGTGTTGCAGACCCAGGCTTGAGCCAGTAGGCAACTTACCTTATTTCCATGTATCCCAGAGAGCAGTGAGTGCTGTCATTGTCTTTTAGTAAACATGGTCTTCTCACATCTAAGGGAAATCAGGTCTAGATCTCTGACCCCTAAGTTGCTGAAATCCTAGCTGCCAGATCAAGAGCCCAGCAGTCTCAGGGCATCAGCTACACATGTGGCTTTCTCACTTTGTTTCTCTGTGGAGTTTTTTTTTTTCTTAATCTTTTTGTTTAAGACTGGCAGTGCCTGTTACTGTTGGCGTTTGGAGCAGAGCAGAGCAGAGCAGCACTTTGAAGCATAGCTTCACTGTGCCAACACCACGGATGGGGTTTGTGCATGACTTATTGTGCCAACACCACTGATGGGGTTTGTTTTTGCAGTACTTAGACGGAAGTCAGGACCCCAAAGATGCTAGGCAGGTGCTCCACTTGAGGTACCCTCCAAGCCCCTGGCTGAAGGGGATGTTGTTTTTAAATAGAAATAACCTGGTCATATACTAAAGTTTGGATGCTTCTCATTTTTTCCTGTCCCTGCCTACTTGAGGCCTGTTGGAAGGCAGATTGGAAGGAAGATGAGTAGGTAAATAATTTAAGCTACCATAAGCAACAAATGATCTGAACTAAGGCAGAGGAAGGATAAATTTAGTTAGTAGATTTGGTTGGTAGACTGCATGGGAGGTGAGGCATTATATGTTCATATTCCCCACTTAGAGTGGAAGTAAAATTCAGTACCAAAGGAATGCAGGAAGAATTGTGGATTTGGGTAGGATGGCGGCTAAGGAAGGAGACAGAAGTGTTAGCGTGTTTTCTAAGTGTTGTCATGGCTCTCTTCACACATCACAGACCTCAGTCCCAGGACCTCTTAGTCTCTCCTTCTCCAGCATTTGGGGAGCATCCTTGCCATGCTCACTCATCTCACACACTTCTCAAGTGTCCTGGGAACTTTGTGGATGTTGGAGTCTGATGGAGGAAAGGACACCGATCAAATGGGCAACTCCAAACAGTGGCAGAACTCTAAAGGACATGTGTAAGGTGCTCTTGGCATGGCTGGAAGGAGGGCCTGGCCAAGTCGGAGGCCCGGTGCTGTATCACCTCCTCACTAAGACTTGCCATGACTGCATCCTACATTCACATTCATGTCTAGCATCTCACCCTCCCATGCTTTCTTTAGAAAACTTTATTTGGCTTGAAATCACCCTGTCAATACTCCCTTGGTTTTTCACGCAGCGGAACCTGAGAGCACATGTGCACTTGTCTCTCTTTCTTGCTTGTGTCCTCGGTGCTTAGACTCTTCCTGAGCTGTTTGAGAGATGAGTAAATGACTGCAGAAGCAATGTGTTTGGACTCTGGTCTCTTGCATAGATGCCCTAGTGTCTTCTCCCTCCTCTTTACCTTGTGTTTGAGAAGGTGCCCCAAGGTGACCTCCTGCTTGATCCTCCTCCTGCCATAATGATCTTGCCCTCATGCTAGGTCTTCATTATCTTTGTGTTCATCATTATTTTTGTCACATGTTGTACTTTTTCTTTTAAAAATATTTATTATCTTTATGTGTGTGAGTGTTTTGCTTGCATGTATGTATGTATGTATGTATACCATGTGCAAGCCTGGTGTGCTCACAGAGGCCAGTGTGAAAGTGCTAGATCCCCTGGAACTAGAGTTAATCATGGTTTGAGCTGCCATGTGGATGCTGGGAACTGAACCCAGGTCCTCTGCCAAGAGCAGCCAGTGTTTCTAACCACTGAATAGTCTCCCCAGCCCTGTGCTGTGGGGTTGCATATTGTAGCCCCCACCCCACATAACAACACATGTGACTGCTTCAAACTGGATCGATCAGTCATTCTCATGGATTCTTTCAGTTCAGAGGAAGAAGAAGGAGCCCTCGGGTTGCAGAGCATGGTCTTGTTTCAGACATGAAGCTGTTGCTGCTTTTATGTTCTGGTTTTATGTTGTGTGCTCCTTCATGTCTTTAGAAACATAATGCTTAGAAGTGAATGGATGCTGCCTGGCTAGTGCTGTTGTTCATGTCCTCCTTGGAACAGACTTAGGGCTCTTCCCTGCTTCTCTCACTTCTCACTGGGGTGCTTTAGAGTGGTCAGGCTGGTACAGGGGGCAGGGAGCCTGGGGAAGGAGGCAGAGTTAAGTGAGATGCCCACTTCTGGGTGATTTCTTCCTTATTTTGGCCAAAATGCAGTGGCATGGCCTTCCTGAAGCTACTTCCGAATCTCTGAGGAGGCAGCTTCCACCAGTGCAACTAGCTTTTTGCTTGCTATGCCTGCCTGCCACTTGGAGCCAGTTAGCTGCCCCCACATCCCACCAATCCTCACAAACTCCAAGTAGAATGTTCCAAATCTAGCCCATAATTTATAGTTTCTAATTGGGGGCATTGCAGGAGGCTATTTTAAGCCAAGCAACTTTCTCAGGCAGCTAAGTTGTAAATTGGCTCCCAGCATCTTCTAGCAATCTGCTTCATTTACACCATAGCAAGGAGAACATTTGAAACTTTTTGATGATGTTTCTTTCTTGATTCATTCACTCAGTAAATATTTATTGAATATATTTTATGTGCCATCAGTGTCTGCAAGGAGACTTCTCTCACAGGGTTTATATTCTAGGTAAGGAAACAAACAACAAGCATACACACCGGTGATAGTAGGTAGTGACAGATGCCACATAAGAAGCAAAGCAGGATGAGAAATGGAATGATGGGGCGGGGCTTCTTCAGAGGGCAGCAGGAGGAAAGCTGCTTTGAGAAGGTGGTATCTCAGGAAAGATCAGATGAGTCAGGGATCTAGCCAAGCAGAGTTCCTGGAAGAAGCAACAGCTGCACAGAGTTCTGTGTTGTTGGCAAGACGCTTGGGGCTGCCGGGTAAGGTACAGTGAAGGAGAAAGGAGAGGAGGCGAGCTCCTGAAGTTGAGAATGGAAGATGTGATTTCCTCATCTCCAAATCTAAACTGTGCCCCTGTTCCCAGGGAAAGGCAGTGTCTGACATCACCCCCAAGGGCTAAAGTCCCAGCCAGTGCCTTTCATTTGACACTGAGTGGGCCCAGCACAAAGTGGGCCTCTTCAGGTAGGGCCTGTGAGTATCTACCAGAAATTAAGGCTGTTTAGAACAGAGTTTGAAGCAGTTACAAAAGAAATTTAAAAGGAAGAGATGAGAGCAGAGAAATTGCCTTTGTGCACATACTTGCTCATCTGTGTAGGTGCATGTGGGGGCCAGAGGTTGATGTCAGGGTGCCTTTCTCAGTTGCTTCTCCACCTTACTTTTTTGAGACAGCATCTCTCATGTAGCCTGGAGCTTGATAGTTTTGTTAGACTGGCTGATCAGTGAGTCTCTGCACCCTTCTTTCTAGGTCTCCCACACTGGGGTTACAGGCACACGCTGCCACCTCTAGACTTTTTATGTGTTTTCTAGGGATCTGAACTCAGAGTCTCATGCTCCCACAGCAAGCATTTTACCCTCTGAGTAAGTTCCCTAACTTCATGCTCAAATCTTTCTTGTGTGCCTGTGTTAGTGGATTTATTGCAGAATATGGATGGCTTTCCAAAGAAAAATCCAATAATGCATTTAAAATGAAAAGTGTAATGCCAGATAAGATGCAATTTCATCAAGTATTGATGATTTGCTTGCTTAGTGGACACAGAGAAGAATGTGTTCACCAACAGTCTTCTACTTGTCTTTTCACTTTGCTACATTTCAACGTTGCCTTAATTTTATCTAGAAAAAAATAAATTAGAGTTTTAATCCATTTTAAAACAAATTCTTGGCTGTTTTTTAGGTCGCTATATCCGGGAGAAGTCTAAGCAAATCATCACTCTGCTGATGGATGAGCAGCTGCTTTTTAAAGAGAGGGAAGTGGCCAGTTGGACGCGACAGCGGACCTCCTACTCCATGACCTTTCCCACCAGATTACCTGCCTCGGGGAACTCAGCTGCACCATGTACTTCCGTCCTCATCCCTGAAAGCCTAAACTCCGAGAAGAAACATTCACTCCTGACAATTGCAAGTCTACGCAATAAAAGTATGTACTATAAGCAGTGGGCTAAAACATGATATGTGTCCAGTGAGAACAGCTAGAAACAAAACACCAGGCTAGTATCAAATTACCAACACCGCATCAGTAGGACTGTCCCACTATTAGACTTCATACCGCAGGGACCAAAGATGAAGGAGGATAGATATTCAGTAGGCAATTGTATGGGTGGTTTTAGAATGCACTGCTTCTGAATTCACATAAAATGTTTTTCAGCTAAAACTGTTAGCCTAGTGGTTATCCTATTTGGCATCTTTATTCAGTTTAATATTTTTTTTCTTAACTAGAATATGAAGGAAGTTTGCTTTTTGAGACTAGGGGCCTGGGTACATGGGCATGTTTCTTTAAATGTGTTTGAAGATTCTAACATAATTTAAATATTCTAGAATAATTCTTTGTAAGGCTTTCCTTTGCCTAAAACCTTAGTTCTGGATTACTGAGCTTTAAAAACAAGGGTGTGTCAGGGGAAATACAATATTATCAGGGAAACAGAATGGTCTTTCCTATTACTCTTGTTGAGTCATCCAAGAATGGCATCTTGCCGTAGCTTCTCCAGCACCCATGATGAGCTGTGCAAAAAGATGGGCAGTTAGGAGATGAAAAACATGGATGAAATATGACTTAGTTGCTTTTTGAGAGCAAATAAACTCAGGTCTGAAAGTGCTTCCAAGGGTTTTCAGAGATTGCCTCCTAGTCACGGCATCTATGTCTACGGCAATGGACTGAAAGCTTGTCCCCACCCCCATGTTGAAATGTAATTCCCAATGTGACGACAGCTGCAGGTGGGCCCTCTGAGAGATGAGTAGGTCACAGGGGTGGAAGCCCCAGACAGGATTTGAGCCCTGAAACCCTAGAGAGCTCTCTTATCTTCCTGATGCTATGGGAAGAGGTGGCTTCTCAGGACCTGACCTTGCAGACACCCTGATTGCAGATTTCCCATCTTCCAGGGCTGTTTGAAAATGATTTCTGTTTTCTGAGTCACCCATTCTGTGGTGGTGTTAGCAGCCCCAAACCACCAAGACATCTGTTAAGCAAGACCCCAAAGGACTACAGGAATTCAACATTCAACAACTAATTGTCAGTGACACACCAAAACTTGAAAATATCAGCAGTAATATTAATACAAACCAATCCTAAAATCATCCTTCCCTGTCTTTGATGATCCGTAGTCCGTAAGGCTAAGATAAACTCCAGCCCAAACGCAAGCCAGAGCGTGCCAGGGGTAGCAAGGCAGGCAGGCCAGAGAGAGGGGCCAGAAAGAAGTGGCCAAGAATTTGTTTTAAAATGGATTAAAACTCTAATTAATTTTATTCTAGATAAAATTAAGGCAACGTTGAAATGTAGCAAAGTGAAAAGACAGTGTGCGTGTGCGTGGTCCCTTAAGTATCGTTTCCTCATCACCTTAGACCTCCCCTGACCACGCCCTCACGGACGTGTCCTGGCACACCTATTGAGGCTACTAGGAGGCAGGGCTACAGTGTCTCTCTACATGTCTTTGTCAAGCATTCTTAAATATTCACTCAGTTTGTGTCTGTGTGCTGCTGGTGGAGAAAGGTATTAGAAGGAGTTCTGTAATTATAACAGCAAACACCAAATACTTCTAAGAAGTAGTGGAACATATTTTTCAGGGGACCCAGTAGTACGAATTCTAATTGGTCTTAAAAATAAAAACCTGGAGTCAGATATAGAGGTAAATGCAGAAAGATCAGAGAAGCAGAGCAGCCAGGCACTAGTTCTTACCTCTACTGAGTCCTCAGTCCAAAGGAGCGATCCTGTCCCTATGAATCGGTAGACTGAATGCCCTGAGCTCCTGTCTCCTCCCACCTTATATTCCTCTCTCCACCCAGCCATATCACTGCTGTTTCCACTGCCCTCCCTAGTGCTGGCATTAAAGGTGTGAGCCACCACCACCTGGCTCTGTTTCTTTTAGACTGGATCAATCTTGTATAGCCCAGGATGGTCTTGACTCAGTCAGAGATCTGTCTGCCTCTGCCTCCCGAGTGCTGGGATTAAAGGTGTGTGCCCACCATTGCCTGGCCTCTCTGGCTAACTAGTGGCTAGCTCCTCATTCTGATCTTCAGGCAAACTTTATTTGTTAAAGCACAAACAAAATATCACCACAGGAGCCATTTATTTTGGAAGAAATTCTCTGGAGTGGACACTAAGTGTACAATACCTGGCTGTTAGTCTTTAGAGTTTCTTCACCCCTTTCACTGTTTCCTGACAACTTTCTTGCTTGTGTGTGTGTGTGTGTGTGTGTGTGTGTGTGTGCGCGCGTGTGTTTGGGGTACCTGTGAATATGGATGCCAGGGGTGAAGGCCAGTATATTCCTCAATCAAGCTCCACCTTTTTTTGTTTTTGTTTTTGTTTTTTGAGACAGGGTAGCTCACTGACCCTGGAGCTTATTGATTCAAGTAGGATGGCTGGCCAGGGAGCCCCAGGGGTCAACTTGTCTCGCCCACACACACGGTACTGGGATTACAGATTGTGCTGTGGCACCTATCTTTTACATGGCTTCTGGGGCTCCGAACGCTCAGTAGCAAGTGCTGACTACTGAGTCCAGCTTTAGGACCATTGGTATTTGGCCCTCTGTCCAGCTCTGTGAGGTGATTACTTCAAGTAATATGTACTATATAGGTCCTCGTGCTTGCATGGCAGACCCTTTCCCAGTGGAGCCATCTCCTAGGCCCTTTCTGCCACTTCTTGACTCACTTTCTTCTGGAACTTCTCACTTGAAATTTGAACAGCCAGAAGGAATTAGGAGCAACAGTGCTGTGGGAGGCAAAGCTCCCTTCACCATGGAACTTGTGTGACAGAGGCCAGCCTGGGACACACATGCACATGTCAGATGGAAACCCATCCTTTACCAAAAGGGAAAGCAGTAAGGGACAGAGTGACAGTGATGACTTTGTTTGGGGACAGATATAGCATGGGGCAGCATTTGGGAGGAGAGGAATTTAAATAGAGACCTAGCTGCAGTGCTGAAGCAGGTGGCCTGGTAAAGGAGCAGCTATGAACCAGACACAGCTTCGGTGACAGCATGCTAACAAAGTGAATCCCTAAGTCACTTCGAAAGTAATTCACCTCTGAGCCATGTGTTTGAGGCACACAAGAAATTCCAGTTCATTACTTCACAGTCCTAGAGTAAGTTGTTTTTAAATCCAAGTGGCATCTCCCAGTGTTATGACACACCTCAGTCATCAGGAAGAGCTCTGAATGAGTTGATTTTGTTGTTGTTGTTATGAACCCAAGGCACAGTGGCCCACAGCTGAGACCCCAGTGCTCAGGAGCCCAGTCAGGAGAACTGAGAGTTTGAGGCTAGCCTGTGCCACACAGCTGGACCTGACCTCAAAGGAAAAAAATCTTGGAGCTTTGTTACAATGTATTTAGTAGCACACATATATCAAGAATGGCCTGCCATCTTCCAGACACTGCACTAGGCATGGTAGGCAAATCCCATGTTTCTGCTATCGTGGAAGTGACATCACAAGATGAACTGTGCTCTCAAGTCAGCTTCACTACAACGGATTCCAGGAGTGAGGCTGTGGGAAGTACTGCTTGAAGTGCATGTTTAGATGCTGAAGCTGATGAAGTTCTGTTAATAGAGATGCCATTAGACTATTTTTGTTTCTGTATGAGATACATAGATGTCTGCACTAGATACATAGATGTATGCATTTATGTTTAGAAAGGAGCATCTGGGTTGAGTAAGTTAAGCTGTAGTATTATTTCCACGAAGGTGTTGGATCTCAAGCTGTACTTGAAGAAATAAAGCAGACATTTTGGAATAAGAATAAGGAAAAGAAAATTAATTGGGCAGGGGCCTCCTTAGTGGGACAAGGGAAGTAGCAAATGAAAGCAGGCAGATGGAGAGATGCATGTAAAGTGGGTAGTCCCAAGTCTCAAGCAATAGAGGCAGCCACGGAAATCCTAGGGTCTTAAATGTAGCAGGGGTTCCTCTCCTTCTGTATAATATAGAATAGGTGTTTGGGGGCTGATGTGGCTTTCTGTGATGTCTGCAGCTTCAGGTTCTTTCTGTCTCATTGCTATACCAAACTCATGATGCATAGCTGCCGGAATGCCAGCCATCACATCTTCTTTCTAGCTAGTAAGAAGAAAGATGTGTTGAAGATATGAATGCTTCATCCTGCTAAGTCACAGTTAACATTTTGGCTTACATGTTGCTTGTCACTGGGCCACATGGACTCTCCTAGTTGCAAGGGAGGTTGGATAGCTGTGTGTCAACTGTGTTTGTTTGGAAAGAATAACTTTGGGAGAATAAGTAGAGGAGACAGTAAAGTAATCTCACCCAGAGTAGGGATGAATACAAGCAGAAGGTGGATTGAACCTGTAAGACCTGCTGTGTACTAAATGGAATAGAAATTGGATTTGAATATGCAGAGAAATGTGGGAAGATACTTGAAGGGTTTCCGAGCAATTAACAAAACGTATAATAATGGTATTTGGAAATTTCAGTTTGCTAGAACTTGCACCTAGGAAGCAGTTCAGGCCTTAAACAGGAGGGATGTTTAGCTTAGTCACAGAACTTTGCTTTCCTATTACAGAAAACAGCTGTTTGGGGAAGATAATTCTTACTGCTTTGTGTGGAAATGAAGGAGGTGTAGGTTGTAGGGAGACTGTGAGGAACAATTGTTTCAGTCTGGTCACAGGACCTGCTCTGGGTGGGAGAGATGAGGGGACAGTCATGTTTGAAGGCAGCACCCATAAAGAGAGGCAGCAGGTTAAGTGGATGTCATACTGGAAGAGAAAGAGAGAAACTGAAAATGACTTCCACATCTGGGTTAGAGGAAAGAGAGGCAGGCGATGGTATCGTGCAGGTAAATATCCATCCATGGGAGTTTAGAGAGGCCACTGTCTTATTTAGTTACAGCAAGATGTGAAATTGAGAGCATCACTAGAAAGCCTAGAGCTGAAACAGCTGCTCTGACTGCTTCGAGGTAAATTAGCAAGGGAAAAGAGCACTCTGA